AAAAAAAAAAAAAAAAAAAAAAAAAAAAAAAAAAAAAAAAAAAAAAAAAAAAGCACAAAGAGGAAGAAAAGAAAAAAAATCTGGAAAAGTGTTAAAAGTTACTTTTAAATTGTTTGTTTGAAAATAATATTATAACAAACAATATTTATATGGTATGATCCAAGTACCATGAAAGAATATTGACTCGATCAAAAAATGTCTTGTGTATGACGACAGGTGTCCAGTGGTCCTTGCACGTGTCATTTATGTTTTATGTTATATGATAATGTGATGACGTTACATGATGATGTGATGACATTAATCATGATGTGATGATGTTAGATGATAATGTGATGACGTTAAATGATAATGTGATGATGTTATATGACTGTGTGATGATGTTATATGATGATGTGATAGTACATGATGTTGACATGATGATGATGATGCATGATAAAAAGATGTGAGACTTATGATGATGAAATAATTTAATAGGGTGATGTTCCATATTAAGATCATGTGCATGTATTAAGTGTCACAATGCATTGTGATGAAAAGTTTTCAAAGATAGAACTCTAGTTAATGTTAATGAGGTTGAATGTATGAATGCCAATGCGTGCATGTTAACTTAGAGTAATGTGTAACCGATGCATAGGGTTGTGTTGTGACATAAAGATGATTTAAAGATAAAAATTATAGGGACTTCATGCATTTTGTGTGTTCATATATATCAAGATACTTCTTCATTTATGATTATGAGTATGAACGCGTATAGTATGATGATGATGATGATCATCATCATGTCTCGCATGGCACTCAGGGTTTGTTAACCTCCGAACATTGCTACGAATAGCTAGCTCGACTATGATGGGTCAAGGTGGGTGCAAACCACCTGGGGACCTACGCTCGCAGTCTTGTGTAGAAAAGTACTACACATCCAATTTTGTTCGGATTGAAAGCCACCCCTATGATAGTTTTAATGATAGGTCCCTAATCATGAGTTGTATGTGTTTGCATTTTCCTAACCCCAATATAAATGGGGTCACCCATGATGGTTTTAATGATAGGACTCTAATTATGAGTTGCATGTGTTTGCATTTCCCTGACCTCAACTTACCAAGTATTTCTTAAACCCCAATAGTGGAGTCACTAATGAGTATTTCTTAAACTTCAATAATGGGGTCACTTACTAAATATTTCTTAAAATACTAAGTCGTTGAGGATGACATCACAAGTAAATTTTAGGTAGTAAAAGCAAGACACCTCTGTATCGTTGATGACGACATCACAAGTAAAGATCATGACTTATGCATAGTGATATGAATCCAACCACTCATCAATTGCATGTATACAAAGGAGCAATTACAAGAACAATGTAATGAAGATTCAAGTATTAAATCAAGAAAAAAATTGAAAATATCACTTGACATTGGAAAGTGATTATGACCTTTTGTCTTTGGTAGTTGAATTACATTTAAGATTATTTATGTTATGTCTTATTTTCTTCAATTTGTATTTAATAGCTTTTATGTGTAGTTTGTAGTTGAACTACCTTATGTTTAGATTATCTTTTTGGCTTACTTAGACATGTAATATTCATGTTTGAAATCACAGTGGAATACAAAAACCAAACCTCGGTGTAGTTTGTAGTTGAACTACCTTATGTTTAGATTATCTTTTTGGCTTACTTAGGCATGTAATATTCATGTTTGAAATCACAGTGAAATACAAAAACCTCGGTGTAGTTTGTAGTTGAACTACCTTATGTTTAGATTATCTTTTTGGCTTACTTAGGCATGTAATATTCATGTTTGAAATCACAGTGGAATACAAAAACCTCGTGTTAGAAACCCTTTGGGTATTATGTTTCTTTCAAACCTTGCTTTTGCTTTAGGTTTGATGTTAAAATTGATTTATTGAATTAGTCATGATCAAGCTAATTTTGGAGTGAGTCGTCTTGAGATCTAAAGTGACTATCATAGATTTTCTAAGAGTTATTCATTCTTCTAACCTGCTCTGAGTAGAAATGATTAGTAAAGTTAGCTTTCATTTGTGAAAGTTTGCAAGAATACTAGAAGGACATCTAGCTCTGCAAAATCCAACATTGTTGCGCTTATCACATAAGATAGTGAACCTTAGATTAGTATATGATGTTTTTAATGTTGATGTTTATTTGTTTTATTTAGTATTTCATTAGGTTGTTTTAAAGACATTTTCAAACATTTTAAAGTCCTTGACAATGTTTTATAATAAAACTTTTAAATGTTTATTTATGCATGAGAGAACATGCAATGATAACGTTAGATTAGTAGAAATTTAGGATCGTTAAAACACAAGAGGAAGATTTTGTTTCCATCTTTACTTTTAATGTAATTTAGTTTTGACTTCCTCACTCAATTTCTTTCTCTAAATAAAATGGAAATGGAGTGATTGTATTCATCATATGTATGTGAGCTAAAACTCAAATCCCAAGGATAATACATGAAGGAAAAGAAGAAAGGCGGGGAAAAAGAGTGGTAGAAGATGGGAAAAGGAAAAGGAAAGTGTCTCTCTTAACAAGAACAAATTCACCAAAGTATGCTCTTGTTTTTCACGAGAAAGATAAAAATGATCAATTGTCGTACAGTGAAAATATAATAAAGTTAACGAGAAAGACAATCAACAGCGCATTTGAATGCATAAAATAAAAGGAGCATGAACAATCAAACAAAAAAAAGGTAAAACATTATCACCAAAATATTTGTCTTGGGATAAGTAAAGATTTAAGTGATTTTACCGCATCCATTTTATACTTACAAATGATCAACTAGTACCTTCAATCTCTTCGGATATATCAGAGTTGTTTCCAGATGACTGAAAAATTTTTGCAACTTCAAGTAGCCTGATCAAATTCTTATTTCCTCTGGTACGAGCTTCATCAAGCGGAGTATTTCCCCATCTACATATTATCCCATAGTCTAAGATGATGAAAAATGAAAATGAACAAATGCATTATATGTGAGCTTTGATGAATAATTCCATTTTAATCCAAGTGATCATCAAAATAAGTATTCTTAGGTGAGTAACTCCCAGAAGATCTCAAAGAGAGTGTCATTGTCAAAGATTATGAAGGTGGACATCAATGAAAGAAATACTTGTCTAATAACTTTGTCAGGGCATCTCTGAATAGTAGCTAAATCACAGTCATAGCTTAGAATCAACGTAAATAGATCATATCATACCTGTCCGTTGCAAAAACACTGGCTCCAGCATTTAATAGGACCTCTGCAAAAGGATACAAACCTTCTGAGACAGCTATGTGAAGTGGAGTCCGTTGATCATAGTTTCTAGCATTTGGATCAATGCCATTAGCCAGAAGCCCTTTCAGAAAGCCCAAATCCCTTCTTGCGACAGTAGAACAAAGAAGTCCACCAGCATCATTAGCAACAATGGTTGCTCCAGCTTTGGCAAGTAAAGAAGCTACTTGCTCATGTCCATTCTGAATGGCTTCAAGTAAAGGCATGTTCCCAAACTTATCTGCATGCACCACACAAAATGACATGGGGCTACAAGTGGAAGACAGTTTTCAATAGGCCAAGAATGTACACATATCAATTGTTGTTCAAGGTTATCGAGATCTTTGCGGAAAAGAAAAGCTTTACAAAAATATATAGTCATGAACAAAGAAAGGAGATTGGGCTTAATGAACGGACCAGCCCATATTTTCTAAGTTAAAATGGATGTGCGGCTAAAAAGGGTTAGATTCGTTACTTCTTTCAAATTACAAAAAATTGGAACATACTTCGTATAAAGGGGTTATGTATGACAATTGCAATAAAAAAAATGCCGGTAACACACAGATGAAACAACAAATGGACACATAAGGGAGACAAAAAAGAAATGGTTAGTATAGTAGTTCAAAAGCTCACCTGGAACATTAACTTGTGCTCCTTGTTCAATAAGAAAACAAGCAATAGCTTCATATCCTTTCGATGCAGCAAAATGCTGAAAAAAGAACTCGTGTATTATGAGCACTATAATTGGATAAATAACAATTAAGGAACATGATAGGAATTGTACTAGTAGAGTTAGGAATATTAGTAGGATTTTAAGTGTATGCGAGCAGTAATTTGTTATAAATGAAGGGAGTGGAAAAAAAAAAAAAAGGTAGACATTGATTTAGTTGATTTAGTCATTACCCAAGCTTCCCGCTGGATAAAGGATTATGAGCACAACTACTCAACTCATGACTTGAAGTTAGCAAATGTGGATTCACTTTAAAGATTTGGAGACACGGTTTATACAAGGAAAATGTTCAAATTTTGATGAACCGCAAGAGCCTGAAAGACTTTTCAGGCCGAGCTAAACATGAGGCAGCACAAATGATTGGAATTGACTAAGGATTATGACCCTTACTCGACTCCATATTGTATCACGTAAGTCAAGGCAAATGTGGTAGCAGATATCTTGAGCAGGAAGACAACTCACTCATTAATCCTAATTATCGAGCAAGTTTGTTACATATGGACTTGGAGCATGGATTCATGTTTTATTTAGATTTGATGGAGTCAAGACAGGTGAATGAGCTATCTCTAGGTTGAATGAGCTGTCTCTAGTCTCTGACAATGGCCTCCCCTTTGGCACAAGGATATTTGTGTGTGCCCAGAAACATTAAGCTTTAGAATGATTTATTAAATGAACACATTTTGCCATTTTCTATGCATCTTGATAAGCATAAAGATGTACCAAAATTTAAAACGATACTATTGGCTGTGTAGCATGAGGAGGGACATAGAAAACCATGTCAATAAATGACAGGTTTGTCAACAAGTAAAAACTTCGAGACAAAAACCAACAAGCTTAGTGTTGCAGTAGATGAGAAGAGATATCTATGGACTTCATTATAAAGTTGCCGAGGAATGTTAAGAGGTTTCACAGGAATTTGGGTCATTATTGACCGACTCACCAAGTCAGCATATTTTCTCCCTAGAAGACCTACTTTCTCTGTACAAAGTGGGCATAGTTGCATATGGAGAGATAGTTAGGCGACATGGGGTGCCAATTTCAAATGTGTTAAATAGAAATACTCGCTTTACGTTCAATTCTTGGAGGAGTCTATAGAAGGCGATGGGTACGCAGGTGGTGAACCTTAGCACCACCTTTCATCCCCAAACCAATGGCTAGAGAGAGCGATTAAATTGGACTTACGAAGACATGTTATGAGCTTGTGCATTGAATTTTGTAGGTAGTTGGGATAGATGTATGCACATGATGGAGTTTTCCTACTGCAATAGTTATCAAGCAACGATTGGGGTATAACACCTTTGGAAGCTCCTTATAGAAGAAGGTGAAAGTCCTCTATTTATTAGGACGAGGAGAACACAAGTTGTTGGAACTTAAGTTGGTCAAAGTCAAGAATGAATCAATCCAAAGGATTAGAGCTAGGATGCAAATTGCACAAGTAGGCAAAAGAGTTGCACAGACAAAAGGCAAAGGGATTTGAATCTTGCAGTTGGTGGGCATATGTTCCTAAAGGTAGCTCCAATGAAAGGAGCGTTGAGGTTGGGAAGGAAGTGGAAGCTAAGCTCATGATTTGTTAGGTTTCTTGATATCTTGGAATGGATCGGCCTTGTGGGTTATCATTTAGCTTTGTCGTTACCTCTTGCTATAGTCCATGATGTATTCCATGTTTCCATATTGCATAAGTATATGGAAAATTCATCCCATGTAATTGATTGAGAACCACAATGCTCGGATGAGAGTTTGAGTCATGTGAAAAGGTCCATACAGATTCTTGCAAGAGATCAGAAGGTTCTACTTAACCGATTGATAGCCCTAGTCAAAGTCATTTGGTAGAGCCACCAGTTCGAAGAAGCGAGTTGGGAGTGAGAGGACAAAATGAGAGGCAACTATTGAGAGCTTTTTTAAGGATTGAGAACTTTCAAAGACGAAACTTCATAAGGGGGGACGAATGTAATGTACATGGAAAAGAAAAAGAAAAAAGAAAAAAAAAAAAAAGCTTATTTAAGTCGTACATAATCCTAGGAGTCGGTTCAGTTTCATCCCCAACTTGGCAGCACAACTCCCTGCCTCAACTCTCTCTTACTTGCCCGATCTCTTTCGTGTTTGGCTGGTTTAGGTCAAGCGAGGGATCATCCACTCTCAGACGCACTTTCGCCTGCACCATCGTCCTCTCATTTTTGCTTCTTATTCGTTCTGACAGTTTTTCAATGTTGATTGGTTGGAAGTTGCAGTTTAGGTGAGTTTTCTTGTTTTTGTTAGATTCATGTGATTTTGTTGGTATTTTAAGCATAACTTACGAATTTTTGGGTCCCATTATAGGAAATGCACAACATTTGGACACTTGAACAACATTGGTGGTTAGTTGAAGAGAAACCAGCAAGGATTCAAACTCTTTCAAGGTGAGGAATTTTGGGTGATTTTTATGGGTCACTCTATTGGGTAAGCCAATAGTACTAGAGATTTCTGTGTTTATATATTTGTGATTGTTTAGGTGCTTTATGGTTTTAGATTTGTTCAGGTTGGGCAAGGATATTCTTGGGTAGCTTGATTGGATCGGTTACTTGGACCTTTGGGTAAAAAGCATTTGGATTTTTATGATGCATGCATGGTTGATTGTATGTAATTTAGCGTGATGATCTGTTTAAGGTATAGTATGTTTTTTTAAATATGTGGTTTGCTTAGTGGTGCTGCCAAGCATATGATGTGGGGAGGGGTCTGATTACACAATGAACAAATAGCGCATATTAGTGGTTCTAGCATGCTTAAAAGCCTTAGATAAGTGTATCTAAATCCTAGTTTGTAAGACATTTACCTTTCATTACATGTTATATATGTTTCCATGTATGTTCTTATAAGGTACTATGCTAGAAGAATCTGCACGACGGTTGCCAACTAACCTTTAGTGGTGCTGGGTCTTACATGAATGGCTCACATAAATATAATAGTTGGTGATCAAGAATGATTTTATGAAGTTCTAGGTTGGAATAGGCCCAACACGACTAGACTGTTGCCAACTAACCTCTAGTGTGTTTCTTCTTACCAGGTTGTCCCGTCCCACACATGCACCACAGTTTGTACCATTTAGGAATAGGTAAAGTGTCCTTTAGACACTATGTTTTCGTATTTTTCAATTAAGGCCATTATATACAGACACATTGGTGTATATTTATTGTCAGGACTTTGCATGTATTCAGTACTATGGGCATAGTTTCAGCCTTTAAGTGGGGTTACTTCCTAAATATACTATTATTCACCCATGTTACTTTTCTTTTTCTTTTCAGATGGTGCATAAATCTACAAGGGGTGTGGCAATGACATCCAGTCTAAAGGCCATGGTGAGGGACAAGCTAAACATCATGTTACTTGCACATGCTCAGCGTTGCAGTAAACCACTCTCAACGCTTACAACATGCGCGCTAAAAAAATTTCATTAATAGCGTCTCAATGCCACTTCCAATAATAGTTGGCTTGTGTATGCTTTATGGTTTTTTCAAATATTACTTGCATGATAGACTCTAGAATAAAAGAAACAAAATTAATTAGGGGTAAACATCTCACATATTCAAATTTGTTTGTGTACCCTCCCCTGCTTAGTGTTGTTATTGAGTTAATAATGAAAGATATTGTGCTGGGTTAATAAGATTAAGAACTGATTGTGATGCTTGTTAGAATCAATTGAATTAGGGGAATCATGACTTTTTCGAATAAGTAGATAAAGTGTTTGGTTACTATTTTTTTTTCAATTGAACTGGGTTATTTTTGTAAATCCAAGATCAAAATTACAATCGGATGAGATTATACCATGAATTGGAAACTTCGGTAAGATTGATTTTTTTTCATGCTTTTATTTCCTTTTGTTTTAATTCATCTTAATTTACAAGACAAATATTTCCCTATTTAATTTCTTTTGCACTATTTTATTTAATTTCTTTTGCACTGCATTGGGGAACTAATCCACTCATAATTTTCTTAACCTAATTAGTGACGTCACCCATACATTCATGCATAAGTCATAATGCGGATATTTATATTAAATAACCTTGAAATAAAGTCATGGTCTTACGTAAATAATTCAAAATACGAAATTTAACATAACTCTAAAACATATAAAGAGGAAGTATCTCGATGCAAATGACATACAAACACGCATGAGGTTGTATAAATTACGTTACATGACATAATATTTAATACCTTTCATTTCCTTTATACATTTCATATTATAACTCATTTATGCACGGCAACATTTCTCAATCCATTACATGTAAGCCTTACATCTCATCCATAGCATTTCAATTCATTTCATGTAACAGTGCAACGGATTACATGCATACGTGGTAAACATTTCATAACAATTCAAGAATACATAAACGTTGCATAACATAGAGATTTCACATACAATATGGTGCATGTAAGGGCCACAGGCATGCACCATCATACATTAAGCTAACACCAACGGTAAGGTCACTTACTTGGTTGGCCTTGATCGAAGTTACTCACTATAAGATAATCGCCTCAAGATTACAACTCCAACGCCTAACTATTTTCTATAAGATTCCACATAACATGCTTAGGGTCTATTCAAGCTAAACATCAGGTTTAATTACCAAAGTAAGTCCCAAAACTAATCTGATTTAATAAATAAGAGTCATACTGACCTCAAATGGCTTAAACAAGGTAAAAAAATGGCTTCAGAAGGGTCGAAAACTTGGGAATCGGTATATTATACGTATACCAAGCCATCAAGCCGAGGAAAGAATGGAGCCGAGTCGACGAAGCCAAGAATGCCGAGCCGAGTCGCGTATGCGTGCACGTGCGAGCCAAAGGCGGGCGTTTCTTCTGGGCGCGGATCGTGTATCCACTAGACTTGGGCCAAAACAAAAGTCGTGAGCTAGACAGTGAGCTGTTTTACACTGAGCTCCTGGGTTGGTTCGAGACAGATTAGATTTGGGTCGTGAGCATTCTGGGCAAATTGGTGAGGACCGAGACAAATTCGGGTTGACGTGGACGTGGACCCGGACCTGAATGTATCTTTTTCCTCACCCAAAAGCAATGCAACCCTAGTTCGTTTACCCCTTTCTGAATCCGACGAGACATGCAGCGATTGCGACGCCGATTCTCTTTGCTTCCGTCGCAGTTCTTCCTCCGGAGACTTGTGCAGCAACTCCTATCAACACCAATTTCACAGATCTTCACGAAGCAAACTCACTCGATTTCCCTTTCAAAATACTCTTGGTTTTTCTCTCTCAAACGCAGTTGTTACCTTCCGAGAAAAATCAATTGGGTAGAAGCTGAAGAGTTAGAGAAACGAGAGGTTTAAAGGGTCCATGGGGGTGTTTCAAACATCATAATAATTGTCTTGTCCTTTCGTTCCCATGTGACCTCCTCTACTAGTTGGTTTCTCCACTACACTCTGACAAATGCAATGTTTCTAGTGCATCGAGTTTTAATTTTGAGAGCCAAGATCCCCAACGATTTTTCCTCATAGCTTAAGTCCTCTGCTACATCAAAAGCCTCATAATCCATCACATGCGTGAGATTGGCCATATACTTACGAAGTACAGATACATAAACCACGTTTTGTTGGTGGTAGGGCTAATCTATACGCAACGGGTCTAATCCGCTCCAAAATTTCAAAAGGTCCTATAAAGCGTGGACTCAGCTTGCCTTTGCGTCCAAACCTTAGGACACCTTTCATTCAGGCCACCTTCAAGAACATCATGTCACCCATTTCAAACTCTAGATTCTTTCGTCTTGAGTCTGCATAACTTATATGTCTGCTCTGAGTTGTACGCATTCTTTCTCTGACACCTTACATTGGGGCCACCTTTAAAAACACCATGTCGCCCACTTCAAACTCTAGATTCCTTCGTCTTGAGTCTACATAACTTTTATGTCTGCTCTAAGTAGTACGCATTCTTTCTCTGATCTTTTGCACAACCTCATTTGTGACTTGGACGAATTCAGGACCCAACAATTCACGTTCCCCTACATCATCCTAGCACAATGGTGTCCTGCACCGTTTTCCATATAACGCCTCATACGGGGTCATGTCAATTATTGTCTGATAGCTATTACTATAGGCAAATTCCATGAGTTGCAATTTCAAGTCCCAACTTCTAACAAAGTCAAGTACATAAACACGTAACATATCTTCTAGAATTTGGTTCAAACGTTCTGTCTGTTCGTCTATCTATGGGTAAAATGTTGAACTGAAATCCACGCGAGTACCTAATGCTTTCTGGAGTCCGCACCAAAACACCAAAGTAAACATGGGTCTCGGTTTGATACAATTGACACAGAAACTCCATGCAATCTAACAATTTCCTTCATGTATAGTTGTGTCCAATTGTCCATTGTGTAAGTGGCTTTACCAAGAAGGAAATGCGCTGACTTTGTCAATCTGTCCACAATCACCCATATGACCGTGTAACCCTTCAACATTCTTGGTAGCCCTACTATGAAATCCATGGCAATATTCTCCCATTTCCATTCTGAAACGATTCAAATTCCAAAAATAAAATAATGATAATTAAGTGCAGCATTTAATCTTGCCAGAAAATGCACAATTTTTGGCGAGACAATTATTACCATGTTTGAAACGCCTCATAGACCCTTTAAACCTTTCTTTTCTCAAACTCTTCGGCATCTACACAATTGATTTTCCTATGAATGTAACAATTGCGTCTGATAGAGAAAAATCGAGAGTCTTTTGAAACGGAAATCGAGTGAGTTTGCTTCGCGAAGATCCGTGAAATCAGTGTTGATATTTGGGGGTTTCGAGTCGTAAGATTACATGGAGTTGCTGTAGAAGTCTCTAGAGAAAGAATTGCAATAGAAGCGAAAAGAATCGGCATCGGAATCTCTGCATGCCCGTAGAAATCAAAAAGGGGTAAACGAACTAGGGTTGCGCTGCTTTTGGGTGAGGAAGAAGATACATTCGAATCCGGGTCCACATCAACCCGGATTTGTCTCGACCCTCACCAATTTGCCCAAAAAGCTCACGGCTCAAATCCAATCTGTCTCAAACCAACCCAACAACTCAGTGTAAAACGGCCCACTATCCAACTCACAATTTCTGTTTTGGCCTAAGTCCAGTGGATACACGATCCGCACCTAAAAGAAACGGGCGCCTTCAACTCGCATGTGCGCGCAGACGCGACTCAACTCGCACGCGTACGTAACATCGGCTCGACATCCTTAGCTTCGTCGGCTCGGCTCCGTCTTTTCCGCAGCTCGACTTGGCTTGTCGGCTTAAGGTCTCGACTTGGCGGCTTGGTATATGTATAATATATCGATCCCTATGTTTTCGACCGTTCTGAAGCCATTTCTAACATTGTTTAAGCCATTTGAGGTCAGTATGGCTCTTATTTATCAAATCAAAATAGTTTAGGGGCTTACTTTGGTAATTAAACATGATGTTTAGCTTGAATAGTTGTGAATAGACCCTAAGCATGTTATGTGGAATCTTATTACAAATAGTTAGGCGTTGGAGTTGTAGTATCGAGGCGATTGTCTTATCGTGAGTAACTTCGGTCAAGACCAACCAGGCAAGTGACCTTACGGTTGGTGTTAGCTTAACGTATGATGTATGATGGTGCATGCCCTGTGGCCCTTGCATGCACCATATTGTATGTGAAACCTCTATGTTATGCAATGTTTATGTATTTTTGAATTGTTATAAAATGTTTACCACATATGCATGTAACCCATTACACTCCTACCATGAAATGAATTGAAATTCTATGGATGATATGTAAGTCTTCCATGTAATGGATTGAAAAATGTAGCCATGCATATATGATGCATAAATGAGTTATGATATTAAATCTATAAAGGAAATGAAAGGTATTAAGTATTTTGTCATGTAACGTAATTCATGGGACCTTATGCATGTTTGTATGTCATGCGCATCGGGATACTTCCCCTTTATGTTATGATAGTATGGGCTCGTACATTCGATATTTATGTTCGTCATAATATCATGCGAGCCTTTTCTTTGCTGTGGTGTCCGTTGACATATAATACGTTGTGCCTGACCAAACCAGGCCCAAGGTTACATATACGAGCCTGCCAGTGGGCCCATGTGCGCATACGTGGTCTGTGTGTCGGAAAGTACCATACATCCAACCCTGCCTGAACCTGAAAGAGTCTAAGGCTATGTAAAGTTTAAGAAAGATAGGTCCCACTCATGTTTGCATGTGTATTGCATATCTAACCCCAATAGTAGGTGACTTACTGAGTATTTTATAAAATACTCAAGCCACGTGCTACCATAATTTTTCAAGTAAAGGCAAGGCTCCCATGCACAAATGACGGTGGATGATGTAAAGACCATGGAAGATGAAATGGGGCATAATAGGGTAGTAGATGTTTTGTTTTGAGTTTTATTTAGAAATGAATGTTTGCATTTAAATTTCTAGTCTGAGTGTTGTTAAATGTTTTTCTATTATGTTAAATTTCGTATTTTGAACTATTTCTCCAAGACCATAACTTTATTTCAAGGTTTTTTAATATGAATTTTCAAATTATGACTTACCCATGCATACATGGGTGACATCTAAGAAAATGAGTTAAGAAAATGAGGGGCATTGCATAATCACTTTGGTTCATTTGAGATATTGACTTGGCTCCACTATTCCTACAGTTAGTGAAATCAGTTTATTTGGCGGCCCTCTAAAACTGACCACAAGCAAAAATTTCATCGATGGTTTTAAATTGGCAAGTGGCTTATTAAACATTCACCATCCCTTTTTGGTGGACGAACACCATTCTCTTTCTCTGCCATCGACAAATGGGCCTTGAACCTTTTCAAGGTCGTCCAAGTGTTTTTAAGAACTTTTCTTTTTCAAATTTGCTTACAACTAAAATGAAACAGGTCGCTAACAATCTTGACTAGGGAATTTTTCCAATCGTATATGCTAAAACTTGATGACTTCTGGTAAGATATTGCAGCATATTTCGTAAAGACAACTCAGAAGAGTACACTCTTTTGCAATTTGGCAGAGGTGGGTGATCTGGAAGTTCTAAATATGTGGCGTGCTTTCACATGAACAGACAAAACAAGCCGGGGTTCCAAGGATGATCTCAATGATACCATGATGGAGGTGAGTTAAAAGTAATTATATATCCCTGATTAGTTGACTGGTAAGAAAAACCTAGCAAAAGCAAACAAACAAAAAATGCCTATGGCTAGTTCGCAAAAAATTATTGTCAAGCAAGATATATAATCATGCAGAGATTCAAATAAGGAAAATATATATAATGGTAATACTACATAAATTCTACTCTATAAAATTTTATTCTCAACCATATTAATTAGAACGTAATAAAAGAAGATAGAGATAACTCGGCTAGAAGAAACCATACCAGAGGCGATCTTCCATCATAATCTGTTTTATTGGGATCTGCTCCTGCTTTAATCAACCGTTTGAGTTGATTTAGATCCCCATCATGAGCAGCACAGTTGACCTTAATGGCTAACTCAAGTTCACGCTTTTGAATGTAAAGAATTATGTCAGATTCCAAAATTTGATCTTGTTGGTTGGAATCCTTTCCCTATGAAAAGAAAAGATTATAATTATGGCATAGAATTAAAAGTTTAATAGCTTAAACAACCAAAACTTTTAAATTCCAAAAATAGATGGGAAAAATTATTGACCAAGCTGGACTTGATTCAACCAAACATGAACATTAGTAACCTCCCTTGAATAAATATTATTTTAATAATAATTAAATTTTTAGAACAAGATATGAAACCTTTAAAAGAAGTAAGGAAAAGAAACAGAAAATGTACAAAGTTACAATCTCCCAAAAGGGAAGGAAAGAAAAGCAAACATTAAAATGCTGAATCTAACGAGGGGATATAAAAGCATCCCAATCAAAACAAAGATCATTGAAAGAACAGTGATTAAGTACGGATGATAAAGAACTCTAATGCAAAGATTTCATTAGAGATTAAACCAAACATCACTGGAAACGTAATGATCAAAAAAGGATAATAAAGAACTCCAATGGAAAGATTTGAATTAGGCTAAATAAAACTGCTTAAGCATTCCAATTAAAACCAACATCAAGAGTAATGATCAAATAAGGATGATAAAGAGAATGGGAAGATTTGATCTTATCGAATATAGAAGCTTAAGGAAGATAAAATGCTTCATTGTCTTATTCCTCTATCAAAAGCAATACATATATACATGTGGAAGTCTGACCAATTTACAGCTAACGGAATTACGCATAACAACTAACATACATTTACAAAATACAATTCATTATAAACACAAGAAATAACCAAGTTAGTTAAAACCCAATCCTACCCCCCTCAAGATGGCTTAAGAGTCGAGAATTTCTATCTCGGAAAGTAAAGAAAATATATTGGGGGTTAGACGAGCTTTTGTGAAGATGTCTGCTAGGCTGATCGAATGGGCAACAATTTAATAAAACGAGAAACTACTTTGTCACGGATGAAGTGGCTATCCAATTCTATGTGCTTGGTTCTCTCATGGAAAGTTGAAATTGTTTCTGTATACTGCAGCCTGGTTATCACCAAACAAAAAAGGAGGAATAAAAGTAACTTGTAAATCGGTGGATTGCTTCTTGGATTTCCCATGACCAATGCATCTCCCAAAAAAAGTAGAAAACTGTAGAATATTTCTGAATATCTAAGAAAGAAGCCCAATCAAAATTGTAAACAATTTGATTGAAAGTTTAAAGAAGCTAGAAAGTAGAGGTCTTGTCTAGGTGCACATTTAAAGTACTGTAGCCATTAATGTGCAGCTTCAAGACGAGATTGGCAAGTGTTTGCCACGAATTGATTCAATTTGTTGACAACACAGGTACTATCATGTCATGAGAGGCTGAGATATAAAGGACCAACGTAACTAACCTTCAATAGACCATAAGATCACTTAGTAGTTAGATCCTGAAGCATGTAACTTTAAAGTTTGATCAAGAGGAGGAGGGATTGGCTTAAATCCAAGAAGACTAGATTTTTCTAAATGTTCCAAAGTGTAATGCCGTTGTCAAATACAAAGATCCCGAGAAGGCCTTGCAAGTTCAAGATTGAGGCTGACAACAGACGAGTAAAGCGATAAAGGATGAACCAAATCCTTGGGTAAAAAGAGAGTAACCACGATGTAGGGACCTACCTCCCTTTCTCCATGTTTTATTTATTTTAACCGAACCTAGGCTATTTAATTAGTTCTTGAAGTCGTCTTTACGACCTCAGTTTGTTTGGAGATTTGTTAGTTAGTTGGACTTCCTCTAATGTATATATTTGTCTATGCTTGTACTTTGAGGCAACTTATTCCATTCTTAATAAAATTGCTGAACTTAATACATCAAGTGGTATTAGAGCGAATGCCAAGAGCCATTTCTTGGATCTGCTCGAGTACAATATGGCCTCTATCGAAGTGGAAGCGTCCCCACTTTGAAGTTTTAACATTGAAGAATTTGAATAATCAGGGGAGGACAGAAACTACAACTTTGAATACCAAGATCGTAAGGAAAGATTACCAAGAAGGAAACAAAACGATGTTCCTATATTGGGTAAAAAACATGGAGGGTTTCTTCAAATATGCCAACACATTCAACAACAAGAATGTTAAATTGGTAGCCTTCAATCTCAAGGTGGGTCCTCGACATGGTGGGATCAATTACAAAACAATAGATGGTGCTATAGAAACAACAATCAAGCAATGGCCTAAGATGCTCTGTTTGATGAAGAAGTGGTTTCTCCCTATCAATTACCGACAAATCCTATAACAACAAATATCCACAATGCAAGCAATAAGGACGTTCTATAATTGATTATACAGAGGAGTTTCACTGTTTGGGAGCTAGGAATAACTTATTGGAAACAAAAGAACAAAAAATCTCAAGATTTGTAATGGTCTGCAAGATGACATCAAAGAAGTTGTATGTCTACATCCCCTTTCCTACCTTGCAGATTCGATTTCATTGGCCACTAAAATTGAGGAACAAGATAAAGTGAAGCCCATCAGAACATATCAAAGAAGGAATAATTGGGATAAGCAACAACAAGCTCATCGAAAAGTACAATCAAGCCCACAAAACGTTCCATCAAGTAAGCTCTTCCACATCCAACCAACAAGGCAAAATGGATGAGCACGCAAGCAAGAGAAACACCTCAAACAAAGATTTGTAAGGTACAAATCCTAGGAAAATTTCTAACCCTTATAACCAGTCATCTCTTGGGAAATGTTTTAAGTGTAGGCAACAAGGACATAACTCTAACGAATAGCATCAAAGAAGAACCTTGGCCACACAACAAGAGACCAACGAAGAAAGTGACCTCAACAGGAGCGAGGCATTTGGGTAATAGGAGTTAAAGAGGGAGGGAGAAACACTGCAGTGTGGACACAAAAGGGGAAAGGTTAGCACCATTGCCAAAAAAGGAAAAAAAAAAGGCATCTTAAAGATAGGAACGAGAGTTGGGTGATTAAGGGAAAAAATTATTCAAGTGGGTTGAGGATGTGAGCTAGGCTTTCAATTCCTCTTTTATTATTATTATTTTTCTAATTTCTTTTAGTAGGAAGCTTCATTGTTCGCTTAGTAAGATGTGAGTTGGATTGAGAAATTATTTAATTTTATTTCATTTCTATTTTTTTAAAATTTGTATCATTTAAAAAATATCGTTACTTAATTATTAACCATTAAGCTAAAAATAGATAATTAATATATTACATTGTCGAAAAGAATTTTGATACCTACAAAAGTATTGGTTATATTAGATATTGTAAAACATGTTGTATATGACCTGCCAAAATTTTAATAAATAAATTCTTGATAAACGTAATTGTAAATATGGATCTAAATTATATGTCACATCTACTTTCACTGTAAAAAATATACTATTTTCTTTTCTTTTAAGAGGAAATCTAACTTCAATTGCAACCACATTTTCCCATAATAAAATTGTGTTTCAGCTTTTGTAACCAAAATAGTGGATATAAAATGAGTAGAAGAGTGACAAATACCAAAAAGGCAAGTTTACCTACCTCAAGGGCATTGTCTAAGATGATCTGTCCATCTAAAAAGTGTAATTCCAAGGTTTCTTTAAATGATAGTTTATCGAGTTGCAAGATCTTGGAAAACTCACGAACCCGAACATGGTAAGGATGAGGAGAATTGCAAAGGAAAGAAATTTCGCCAAATGAGCTATATGTTCCAAGACACCTAATTAACTCTTCATCTTCAGTATCCCAGTTTTCAACTTCCTCCTGTGAATAAGTCTAAAACAATAAATAGATATACGAGAACAAACATAAATCAGACAGTCTTTGGAAATAGAGCCTTTCCTAGATTGATTCCAATCAATCTGTACGAAAGATAGGTTGTTTCACAAAAGAAGCAAACATAACAAGCAAATATACTACTATTCAACTAATGAAATCTCTACTTTTGCATGCAACAAATTTTAGGCAATACAAGGATTTTTTATCTCACATCTATTTGAACATTTTTTTCTATACAATGGTACTATATGGTTGCATTGTTGGCATAGATCTAGCAACCGAAGTTAACAAGCATGTGTTTTCAGCAACAAGAGCATGATAAAAGATAAATTTATAAATTTTAAGTTGATAGAAATTGTAGGCTATTTAACAAAGGATAAATACTTCGCTGAAATATTCTCCTGACATAAATAAACGCCACTAAATAAGAGCCGAAGTGACTAGTGACCAACAAATTACCACCTAGAAGTTATAAAGCAATATAAAAAGCTATTTTTGTTTAAATAAATAACTGTGAAAGCTCTTGGAAGATTAGGCACTAAATAAAAAATGCACAAAGAGATTGGAACTGAAAGACTGAAATTCGTACCAATTCACCATGACATACAACATAGAGTTGGTCAACTAAGTTTTCACGTTCAATAATCATTTGTCCAGGGAAAAAAGCCTCTTCACGAACTTTGGTTGCCTGGTACAGGAGAAGAATGAAAATAATAAATTAACCATGAAATAGACATGAGCTTTCTTTCCTTAGGAATGACTACAACTTTTTAATTCATAGATAGGTTCTATTGGTCGTTCTTTTTTTTTTTTGTTTAAACGGCTAAGATGTCAGATTAATTGCATACTTGGGTAGATTGAGATTCGAGCTATGGAAATCGATGATAGGAAGTGACTCTTGTCTTTTAAGAAAGCCTTCACCAGGACTAGTGGGGGAAAGGGAAAACAAAAAACCCTAAAGTTCATACACACGTCTGTTAAAGAGTAACTACGCAAAGCTTTGTTCAGTTTACACCGTATTACTATGGGTGTGTTGACCATTTAATGGCCTCCAAGCTATCAAGAATAGGAAGAATCTTCCCGAATGAGTTGGAAAACATTTTTGTACGAGGTTTCCTGTTAATTATGTGAAGAATCTATCTTTTTTCAGGAGAAAAAAATCAACTTATACCTTTAAACTTCGCCGGTTGTATCAATAAAAATCCTAAATTAATAATTGTATCAATTAAAACCTTAAAATTAACTTGATTGCATTAAAGTGAACTCGGAATTACCTGACTAACATTAATTTTCTACCAATATCCTACTGAAGTACCAAAACTTGTTTTATTTGATTCATCCTTGATCTCGATAATATTGCTGGTTCTTATGCCAAGGGAGAACTTTTTGAACTTCATCTGAAGGACGAAAGGAATATGATACAAAAATGTAAATTGAAGTGGTTAAAAGAAGATGAAAATACCAAATTTTTTCATAGATATTTGGTAGCAAGGAAGAGAGATTTTGATTTTGGAATTATGCCCATCCGAGGGTGTGTCTTTATTATCCTATAGAGAAATAGAAGCTGACAACTGTTGAAATTTGGGCAGCACTTAAAAGGTCTTGGTAATAACAAGGCATCGAGTTTAGACAACTTACTATTCATCATCATGGTCATTCGAATTCAACCCTTAACAAGAGTTCATTTGTTTAGAACAGAAGAAAGAGCCTATAACTTTCATCAAAGATTTTCAGCCAATTAGCATGACTTCTTCCATTTATAAGATTATTGCCAAGGTGCTAACTAGAAGATTAAAGAAAGTAAGTAATGCTTCCGATATTCATCACTCATAGTGCATTCATTGAAGGACGTGGATTCCTAATTTGATTAGGAGACAACAAAATAGCCTTGAGAAAAAGTTAGAGACAACGTGTACAACTAAAAAATAGCCCCAAGAAAAAAAAAATTGTCCATCATTATGAGATAAAGATTATTAATGAGCTTACAATTCGTTTTATGAATCCCTGAGAGCAACCTTTGAAAAGAGAGACTTCCTTAATGTATGGCTCGTACAATTTCTGTGATATCTGCAACCAACACACATAAATAATAATAAACACACGCATCAAATACTACAAAGACATTCATTCAATTGTACCAATTACGAGTAATCAAAAGTTTTGTTTGTTTCTTTTTATAAAAAAAACATTTTATTGATAAAATGAAATTAAAAAATTGGGGTGGTAAAACTCTGGAATTTACACACAACTTTTTCAATGGGTTACGAGAGATGATAGACTATAGCTACAAAAATATGGAGACAACTTACACCATGTTAGAGCCAAGAGAGAGATTCAAGAAAAAAAAAACTTCAAAAATGTCACCCCTTATCTTTGAAGAGTCACAAATTCCTTTTGATTCCTATAGACCAGTGCCCTAGAGAAATTGAGACAAAGGATCTTGTGGGAAAAGGGTTATTCCCTTAATATAAATTGGTTAATTTTATGCCAAAGTTTAGAAAGATATTTCTTAGTTATTTTATTTTCATTTCTTAAAATTAAATTTTGTTCTCCATGTTTTAAGAGATTTAACAGCACGACATTCTCCCTATTATTAAAGGATTTAGTATCTCAGTTTGTGGACTGTTTTCCAGCCGTGATGCATATTTATTAGGTTGTAATTCTGAAAAGTAAATTCAAGGAGAGCAATAAATTTTCCTCTCTAAATTCTTCATGGTATAAACGAAGGTTCTGTGCTAAAATGACTATTTTCTTCTTTCTGCCTTGATCCATCTCTTTATGTCTAAATATGATGAACAAGGAGATAACTTCCACCAAGACTGTTGAATTATGAGTTTTTTTTGTTTTTTTTTTTAATTACATTCAGTTTTTTCAATTTGATGGTGTTTCTTTTTTAAAAGTTAGATATGACATTTCAGTTTTTTGTCTTTTAGGTTCTTTTTTTTTTTTTTTTTCTTTTGTGCAAGTTTTGTGATATTAATTATGTTCT